TTTAATTCCAATAACTTCATCAGGATAAATTACTGTTTTATACCTATCAATATTGGGTATTAAACATGCCAAATGAGTCTCAGTTTAACCAATTAAATTAAACTCCTTACTTTATCCTTGACGCATTACCATCTAATAATAGGACGCTTACCCGGATTTATTAAATATCCATCCTTCACAATAGATTTATTCTCCTTTGAAAAGTGGACCTACATACTAAATTAAGTATAATTGTCAATAGCTCTCCCTAATAAATTACCAGTTGCTCCCCCCAAAAAACCTCCAATTATACCTCCAATCACAACACCAATTGGGCCTGCAGCAGCCCCTAAAGCCATGCCACCTTCAATACCTAAGTAACCCAATCCAATTGCACCTCCAGTTTTAACAGCAATCAACATAGAATTGTAAACAATCAACATAGAATTGTAAACTTTCTCGCTTTCACTCAAGAAATCTGACAATAATACTCCTCCAATAGATATGGAAGCCATAAGTGCAGTTAATCCCATTCCAACATACGGAACTGCTTTTCCAAAGGATTTTACACTTTAGGCATACATCACTCCACCTTAAACTGAAGCCGAAAACAATAAACCTTTACCTAGCTTTTCTTCATCGACTCCATCAATTATGCAGTCCGCTGTTAAACTTCCTACTGTTCCTGCAATTACACCACCAATTTGCCCTTATACTTTAGCCTATTAAAATTAATAATTCATTTCCTTGGCTTGAATGCTTTTCATGTCAAATTTTATGTTCTTTTAACCCTTAATTGATGATTAAACATCTTAGACTGTTACTGATTTTGTTTCTGTTGGTTTACCAACTTTTTACCATTTATTCGAATATCCATTTTTGCCTTGAGCATCAATTTTTTTTGTAAATGTCAACTCATTGTTATTATTTGGATTATGATGCATTAACAGTTTATTACCATCCTAAAGAGTTGCTTCATATGCAAAATGACCATTCTTATGCTATACTTGTTGCAAAGATGTAATCTTCTAGGCTTTAAGTTATTAGAATGATAATACTGTTGTATTATCTTAATAAACAGGTTATTTTTAGAAATAAGGGCCTTCAATATTTTAAGTATTCAAAATTTTTATATTTGAACTCTTTGTTTGTTTCATAAAGAATTATTATTATAGATTTTATAGATATTCTTTTTCCTATTCAATATTGATAACTCCTTTCAAAATCAATGTGCAAATATTTTGTCTTAAAGATTTCATAACTTCATCAATATGTTCTTCGAACAACTAATAAAAATTTTGCACTGATTTGTTTTAATATTCAATTTTTACGAATTAAATGTAGGTGCTAGTTAGATTTTTAATTTGAATTAAAACATCAGGGTAGTTTGAATGAATGAATACCTTAGTTAATTAAGTTTCAATTTATTTAAACACATTTTCCAATTCATTTTTTATCTTTTAGAGAATTGGTCTCAAATCAATTTCATAGTCATATTTTGAATCAGTTTAAAATGATATCAATTCAAAAATTCTTTTACTTTAAAAATTTACTAAGGTTTCTATTTTAGGCTTTATCTTCTCCTCAATTATTGAGTCCCAATAAATCTTTCTCAACATCGGATCAAGTGCAAAAGCATAGTTATTCTTTACTTATTTGATGTTCACAATATAGATTTACTGGTCCTATATTTATGCAAATTGTATTTCTTTTACAATGAATTCAAATTATGGGAATAATATTACTTCTTTTTCATTTTGATAATGGGAATGATATTATTGTAATTCAAAACATGGATGAGGAACATCTTGATCCAATTTAATTTTGTAAAGTATTCCATAATTAGAAAAAGAAGAAAATTTATGTGCAATTTCTCGAGATTAAGAAGTGCTAGTAATTGTATTCCAAAATAATGATATTCCCTCATCTTTTGATGAATTGAGATTTCGAATAATTTATTCAAAGTTGTTTTAATCGTCAAAAGATATACCTCTAAAAAGTACTTTAAAGTAATTTTTTTTATTTTAATTTTCCTTAAATCCTTAATAAAGACATAGAATAATGTTTTAAATTTCTTAGTAATTATGCTAAGCAAACTATTAGTTAAAAGTTGAATATATCTCTTCTCTGCTGTAAAGGTAAATTAATTTCTCAAATAAATTGAAATTCTAATTAGTTATTTCTAATTTTTCTTATTCTTTCTTTTTTAAATCTTAGAAAATATTATACTTTTTATTTTGTTTATTTTATTTAGAAAGTAAAGCTTCTATTTCAGCAAAAACCTTATATTCTTTAGGTCTTTTTTATTTTTTTAATTATTCTATGACAACTAGAAATTAGATACTCACATGATCTTTCGAATGTTGATATTCTGTTGCTTGTTGTTATGGCGGCAATAATAATTTAATAAATTCTTTTTGAATATCTGATTAATTCATACTCATGATAGCATTTTCATGAGCAGATTCAAATGAATCTGACACTATAGATTTAATCTAGACATTTTTGATGAACAAGTCTAAATGATTAGATTTTCTTCCACAAAATACGATAATGTTTTATTTTGTATGCTCTACAAGTTAATAAGCATATTATCCACTTGTTAGGATGGTTACATAATTATCACCAATTTTGTACAATAATTCCAAAGCGTCAGATATATCATCAAAAGCTTGAAATGCATTCTAGTAAACATTGTATAATTGTTCACAATATTTCTAATTCTCAAAGTTTAAAATTTGGCTGTCAACCCAAATAAGTATTGGATACTCTTAATTATTTTCTTCAATCTAATACATTTAGATAATATTTATTTTATTAAAATGATCATATATATTTTTTTTCTTTTAAATTAAGAAAATAATAATTTATTAAGGTGGAAAACCTAACCAAAAGCAGTTAATTGTATGAATGATAATAATTGATTGCTTTAATTTTTCATCCACTTAAAGAAGGGAAATTTGTAAATTTTGGAAATTAAGCTTTTCTTTTCAGCCAGCTAAAATACTATCATATGATTTTAATTCCATTTCTTTTTATTTTATCAAATCTGCCCAATTTTTTTTAATTAAAAAAATATTAAATATCAACATTCTCTTTTTTTTAGGTGCCAACATCTTCTATTATCAATTCCAAAAACGTTAGAGAAATTTTTTGGCATATAGGTGTATGTACATGACAATTTTCTTTTATTTAAAGAATCATTAATTTTATTTTTTCAATTTTTAAAGAATTGTCAAAATATCAATAAAAGAGAAATTAATGTATTTTATTGATGAAATATTCTTTGTAAATTTGTGATTTACTTTTATTTTTAGTAAATTTTCTTACAAATATATTATTTTGAAATGCAATTAGTAAAAGCTTCTAGCAATTTTAATTTAGACAATATAAGTCCTAAACTTTATATTATAAGCAAATTTTTAAATCTAAACTTAAAGCATATATAAAATAAATTTAAATAAGTTTTCAAACACAAACAATTTAGTTATTTTATAACCAGAATTATTATCCAAATATAAACATTTTTATCAATTATATTTATATTATAATTTATGAAAAATAACCAATTATTGGAACTAAGTATTTATAAGAGTTTAACACTCTATGCCTGTAATTTCAATATTATTGTTTAAAAAATTTAGCTGTTAAAGATTTCAGAATTGTAAGAATGCACAATACTTCAGTCTAATGATCTAAACTAGGTATCTTCCATTCAATTAAGAGGTGGTGAATTCTGTGGAATAAAATAAGTTTATTGTGATTCTATATAGAGTTATTAATAAAATGAAAAAAATTTCGAATCTAAATTATAAACATAAACTTACATAATTATTGAAAAATCATTAAGTTTTCAAGATATAATGAATTACGATGAAATACTTACTGCATTTAGTGGTTTTACAATAATAAGGAGAAATTTCAAATTGTTTCTAATGAGGAGTCTTTTAATACAACAAATTATGATCATATAGAAAAAAATTTAGAATAATTAATACAATTACTACATCTATAGATTAGACTTTCAGGTTATCTATTTTTTCATTGCTCTAAATTTTTAATGATTCATTTATACTAATATTTTCATTCCATGTAATGCAAACTCTTAAAAAGAAAGGAGTTAGTTATTTCTATTATGCGCAGGTTACTTTCATCAATATCTTAATTAAAACCCAGCAATGAATTAATATCTTCTGTTATAGTAAGAGGAAAATTCATACTTTTGAATTTCTATGATAAATAAATTCAAAACCCACTTCAAATGTATGAAATCTATTAAATAATTTAATTGCCCTAAAACAAATATTCAAGTAACCTGAAAATATTTTAAATTAAAATTTTATATTTACAAAGTAATAAATAATAACATGTATTGAAGAAGTTGAAAATCAATAAATAATGTATTGTGATTTTTATATAAATGTGTCACTATACATCTATTTCTCATAAAGAATTGATGGATAGAAATCTTGAATTCGAAAAACCGTTTGAGCATTTATTAAACTAAAATATTTAAAATTTTACTAGCATTAACAAAAATCTAGAAAAATTTCCGATAAAAGTTTCTTTGATAAAGAGAATCTTCTTAATGAATTTAGTGCAGAAAGAATTTAAAATTTTTACTAAAGAATCTATATCTTTATTTAACTTAATTTCTTTTTAAAATCCATTATTGATATTAAAATTGATTTTGGAAATTTATCAACTTTAGAAAAATATGTTTAATGAGAAATTATAAATAGATAAAGTGTATAATTTTCAAAAGATTTTTATAATTATATATTCTAGCTTAATAATTTGTAAAGGATTAAAAATGCTTCTTAAAATACATAATGGGAAATTATTCTAGACGTCATTAAAATATTATGGAATTTTGCAAAATTAACGCACTATCCACAATGAAAGATAAATATAACATAAACTTATATATGGAATCTACAAATAATTTTATCAAAAGTTGCTTCATTTTTAGTTTAGTAAGATAAAAAATATTATTTAATAAGAAATTATCAAATTATTTGATGAACATCTTTTGGATGTAAATCAACTTAGAAGAATCATTAATGAATTTAAAAAAAGATTTATTTGATTGTGAAAGTCCAATGAAGATATTAGATAATTTAATAATTATATCATAAAAGTTAATATTAAAGTTCAAATAAAATCTTAATAATACATAGTCTGAAATTAAGAAACAATACTAAAGTTTTATAATAAGTTAGAAGGTACATATTTGTAAAGCCTAAATTAAGTAATAATTGATTTATAACAATAAACATTATAACTTTTTTAATCAATTTATAATAAGGAATAAATTATTTTTGATGAAGAATTTTTGTCAAAACTTCCAAAATAACCTAAAATATCTTAAATCCCTGTCATGATATAAATACTTAGCTTTAATACACTTAGTATAGATGATTAGGAAATAAAGCAGTAGGATGAAAAACCTGATATATTATAAAATATTATTATAGAATTAAAAAAGGGCAATAGAGTTAATTAAGAAAAAGGAATACTTGATATATTTGAAAATTCATCTTATAAAGTGAGGGAATTACTTGTATTTAATTTAATTAAAATGCAATCAATTATCTAAGAATAAACCATTTAAGAGTTTTGTGAAAACTAATTACAATAAATTTGGATTATTGAAAAGCATCCAAGTGTTCGAAATCTACTTAAAAATGACGAAATGATTATGATGCAAAAAAAGTTATTTTCTAAAGATTTACAAAATTTCTCAATTAGATTAAAAGTAGAAATGCAAACAAGATTAAAATAAATAGAGGAACTTGAAACTTAGGTGCTTCTTAGTGATAATTAAGAGGAAATGAAAATATAATTATAACAAGCTTATGATAATTTTGAAATATATTTGGATAATATAACAGATATGTCATAAAGATTAGATATTAGTTTAATTTTTTTAAGAGAAATCAGCAAAGATTTGAAAAATATTAAATCTTCCATAGATTAAGTACTAATTAGTATAAAAGGTGTTGAAGATGATATAAGAAGATTAAGAGGGAAGAATTTCTTGGAATTATTAAACATGCGAAAATAAAAAGTTTTAAAATAAAAGCATGAAAATGAGTTAGATTAAGTTCATATATAGGTTAAAACTCAAGATTATGATCCTATCTCTGGAAATAGAAAAACAAATAGTCAAGGGGAATTTATTACATTCTTAATTAAAGATTAATATGATAATTATGATGGAGAAGTGAATGAATTTTTATGGAGTGATTAAGAAAAGTAAAAAGATGTAATGTTAATTAAAGGAAAAGCAGGCTCAGGAAAAAGTAGAGCATCTCGTAATATTGAAGAATTTATATGGATTTGTGATACGATTTCCCCGAATTGGATTCCAATTTATGTATCACTTCCTTCGTTAAAAGATCCTCATCACAATTTAATTGATTAAGCTCTTGAATCTGAAAATTATAACTTTGATAATATTTAAATAAGAGAATTTAAAGATGCTGTCATAAATGGAAAACTTAAGATAGTGATTATACTTGAAAGCTATGATGAGATGAAATTTGATTGTATTGGAACTAATCTCTATCAAACTAATAGACTAGCTTAAGATCTTAATCTCTAAGCATCAGGATAAACAGTAAAAGTGATTATTACTACAAGAGAAGAAATTTTGAATTCTATTGGATATTAAACGTGGTTTTATGGTTAGAATATAGATACCCTTAAAGAAATTGAAATATTGCCTTTTNGTTTAGTAAGATAAAAAATATTATTTAATAAGAAATTATCAAATTATTTGATGAACATCTTTTGGATGTAAATCAACTTAGAAGAATCATTAATGAATTTAAAAAAAGATTTATTTGATTGTGAAAGTCCAATGAAGATATTAGATAATTTAATAATTATATCATAAAAGTTAATATTAAAGTTCAAATAAAATCTTAATAATACATAGTCTGAAATTAAGAAACAATACTAAAGTTTTATAATAAGTTAGAAGGTACATATTTGTAAAGCCTAAATTAAGTAATAATTGATTTATAACAATAAACATTATAACTTTTAGCCTTTTTATATTAAGAAATAAATTAAGTTTGAAGAAGAATTTTTGTCAAAACTTCAAAATTAACCAACAATATTTTAAATTTCTGACATGATATAAATACTTAGCTTTAATACACTTAGTATTAATAATTAGGAAATAAAGGGGATGGAAAACCTGATGTATTATAAATATTATTATAGAATTAAAAAAGGGCAATAGAGTTAATTAAGAAAAAGGAATACTAGATATAGTGATTGAGTATTTCTTTAGACGGTTTTACTATTAAACTAATCTTAGTCTACTCATTTTAAATTAATAATTTTTTACAATTTATTTTAAATAACTAAAAAGTTTGATTTAATATGGAATTTATAAAGTTTAAAATAGTTCATAAAACAACATTTATCAACCATTTATCTGAAAATTCACCTGATAAATAGAGGGTATTACTTGTATTTAATTTAATTATGATGCAATGAATTATTTAAGAATAAACAGATTGAGAGTTTAGTGGAGACTTATTGTAATAAATATCGATATTGAAAAGCTACCAAGTGTTCGAAATTTCCTCTAAATGATGAAATGATTATGATGCAGAAAAAGTTATTTTCTAAAGTTTTACAAAATTTCTCAATAACCGTAAAAGTAGAAATGGAAAACAAGATTAAAATAAATAGAGGAATTTGAAACTTAGGTGTTCGTTAGTGATAATTAAGAAGAAACGAATATATAATTATAACAAAAAAGTGATAATTTTGAAATATATTTGGATAATATAACAGATATTTCATAAAGATTAAATATAAATTTAATTTTTTCAGAGAAATCAGTAAAGATTTGAAAATTATTAAATCTTCCATAGATTAAGTATTAATTATTATAAAAGGAGTTGAAAATTCATAAGCAGATTAAGAGGGAAGAATTACTTGGAATTATTAAACATGCTAAAATTAAAATTTTTAAAATAAAAGCATGAAAATGAGTTAGATTAAGTTCATATATAGGTTAAAACTCAAGATTATAATCTTATTTAATCTATTATTAAATTATAGAATTTAATAGCCTTAATACAATAACAATTAAAAATGGTTTGTCACAAAGAATTGTGTATTTTCTCAGATTTTTTTCAATTAGAATCTGGATCAGAGTCTTAAACAATCATATGGAATTTTTATAGAACTAAAAAAGATCTAAATTTTAATAAAGGGTAAAAGATTGCCAAATTCATTTGATTTTCTTAAAATTGATAAAATTTTGCTGCTAGAGATGATTAAGATGCAATCCAATCAAGAAATTAAATAAAAATATATTATCGAACATCATTTTATTTTATAATTTGGTTTTTATGATAATCTAGTTTTTAGTTAAGAACAGACACAAATTATTGTTAGCATATAAATTCTGAAATTATAATTTTGAATTTAGAATAGGTCTCTAAATAGAAATAAATGATATTTTAATCAAAATTAAATTTAGTTCGAAATCGTTTATTTTTTCGTCTTATTTTCTTATAAAGTAAGTTGTATAAAAATAATCAGATATTTAACTTTCACGTTAAAATTAATCCATCTGAATTAATTAGTACTGATAATAATCCTGAGTTAAAGAATGAAAAAGAGATGGGAATTGAATTATGTAAAGTAAAATAGCAATTAATGTCATTTCATAAGAATTAGCTATTGAAAATTAGGATTATTATATTCAATTGAAAAAAATAAAAAGAATCAACGTCACAAAAAATAATCAGTTTTATCGACGACTTTTTCTAGTAATAGCAAGATTTTTCTTATGGCATGATGATAAAAAAATAAGAATTTGGAATGTTAGTGATACATTTACTTTAATTATGTAGAAAGAACTTAGTATTATTAAAATTCTATTAGTTTAAGATAGAAATAATATCTATTAATTTTTTCAATTAAAAGATGAAGAATATATTGTTAAATGGCCTGAAATGTACTAATTTGGGATGAACAATTAAATCATATTGTTTATTAAATCGACAAATATTAATTATAAGATGAAGCAATAAACTAAGTCACGAATTTACAGAATCTCTCAGTTGGATTTATTTAATTACATAATATGATAGCTATTTAATTTAAAAGAACGTAAAATTATACAATATAGAGAAAAAATAATTAATTACATATTTCGAAGAGGACTCTTTTACACAACTATCATAAATTTTCGTAAGTTGGGGTAGAGAATTGATGGACAAATTTCTAATTATAAAAAAATTGGTATTATTGAAGACGAAATTAAATTTGATTTTGCTAAATCATAAAGGTAATTAGAAGTATCAGAATATATGAAAATAGAAATTTAGAGATTTTTGATGCTTAAATAAATGGATGACAATATTTTCAAAAAAAACTAGTTTAAAAATAAAGAATTTATTATTTATATTATCTGGATAACAATTCATACTTGGAATGGATAATTTAATTATACATATAATGATAAGCAACCATTATAAATCTATGATAACAAATCAGTGATTAAATATTTGGAAAAAATCATCTTTATATAAGCTTCAATTTGTAGTATTAGATAAGCAAAATTTTAAACAATTAAGTATGAAAATTAAAAAAAAATTAGTAGCAAGAAACAAGCTATAAAATTAAAAAAAACTCTTAATATGAAAAATATACAAAAAAGTAAGATAATATATTTTGAATAGGTTAGAGAAAATATTAAGACCTTTTAGGCTTAGAAATTTTTGAATTTTCAAAATTTCAATTCCCTCTTAATTGTCTAAATTCCTCATTTTTGGTGAAGCTCAAAAAAAAATATATTGCTTCTAAAATAAATTGAATAGAAAAAATCTTTTCTAATGAATAATTGTTCAAACATAATTTAATTAATATTTCTTAATATAAAAATTACTTTAATATTGTGATAATTAAATAATTTATTTTAATATTCTGGCTCTAAGAGTTCTTAATTTAATTATTCAACCCTTCTCTTGACAACTAAAACTTGTTTATGTATTTCAGGTCAGCCATACAATTTCATTGAGATCAACCTTAATATAATTTTTGTTTATAAAGAGCCTATTTAAATTATTTAACAGAACAAGATTTTTTCTATTTTTTAAAATTTTAGATTGATGATCGTAATCATTTATCTTATTTGCTTGAATTCAACAGCATCGTTTGAAATAGAAACTTTAGATCCTTAATACTAAATAGCACATTAAATGGTGAAGATTGAAGATGATGATTTTTTACAAACCAAATACTTTAACTATGGCATTTGGTCTAAATATAATCCTCTAAGTACAATACCATAGACAGGTTTAGTTGGATTATTTGATAGTAATTGTTATCTACTTCATCACATTATTGATAAGAAGACGAATGAATTAAATTTCATATATTATGATTGTTTAGATTATGAGGCAAAGACAATAAAAAAGACAATAAAGTTTGTTAATAATGAAGATGAATAAAAAATATATGAAATTGAAATTGATACATTTGAATATGAAGGCTTTTGGTATTTTTTAGAAATCATTTAATGGCCCTTATAAAAACGATTTGAAATTCTGATAATATCATAATAAAAAATAATAATTCATAGTATTGATTAAATAAAATACCCATTCAAGGGAATAGATCTATAATTGACTTTTGGAAATAGTTTGATTGTAAGTAAATCTAGAATAGAAACAATTTAAAAAGATGAAAAATTCTCATATTATCCTGGAGCCATAATTATATAAAAATATAAAATATAAGATGAACTAAATATTATTGATTGGTTTAGTTATGTGTAAGATAAATTTAAAAGATATGAATTATGTTCGTGTAAACTGAATTAAAATGTAAATTTCTAAGATCAGAATATCAATAATTAACAAAAAAGAGAATTTGTTTCAGATAATTTAAATTGTGATTCTTTTGTTTTATCAGGATGGTTTAAAATATAAGGAATAATTAATGAAGATAATCAATTTATATATCCATTTATAAAATTATCAGCTAATTTTGAAGATTCTAGTTTATCTAGTGATAATTTATCCCCTTTTTAAATTTAATATAAAATATCAGATATTCAGAATTAAATTATTGTAACCACTTATAGTTATACTTTTCCAAAAGTTTCAATTGATTTTTCGGATAATCCCTTTTTAATAGTAGAACCTTTTGATATTAATCACAGTATGTTATTGTGGCATAAAATATAAGTTAAATTGATTAATAATTAAATAGATATTTAAATTAAATTTTACGATTAGTAAATAGTTCATGAATATAATTATTAAAGAGAGGTTCGTCAATTTTAATAATTGTAATTAAAATTATTATATGGAAATATAAACTAACTTAAATCAAATTACTTGCATATTTTAATACGAAATTTCTTATTTTTTAATTGTGATCGAACTTTTTCTGAGAAGAACTGCCATCCAAATTGTTAAGAATGTGATGGCCCTACTAATTAAGATTGTCTGTCTTGTTCAGAAGAATCCAAGAGAATTTATTTACCTGAGCATAAAGTATGTGTTTGCCCTTATAATACAATTGATGATTAAATTTGTATTGGTTAAGAAGAATCAAATTTAGAATTTATTGATGAACCTTTCATAAATACTGAGTGTAAATATGGTTATTTTGAAATAGATAATGAATGTTACAAATGGTAATTTATATATTATATTTTTAGTCCTTCTGTGATTAGGAAAGATTTAATAATTTGTTTAGAGTGCTTATAAAATCCTAAATCTTTTAGTTAAAGCCCATTTTGTGAAAATGATTTACATATCAGTCAATCAAATTAAACTGAAACACTTAAATGGAGTTATCCTGATTAATTATTATTTGATGGAAATGATTTTAGTGTATTTGGGATGATGTAAGAGCAAATATCAGTTATAAATAATATAGATTATTTGTACTTCGACTTTTCAATGAAATAAAAAATTTTAGGGCTACACTGCTAGGAATATGAATATGAATGCTAACTAAATTATTATGGGTGCTAAACATACTATATATCAATTACTAAAGTAAAATGTACATCATGTTTCTATGGGGAGTCACTAGTCGAAGATAAGTGTATTCCAGATGATGTGTATTATAAATCTTGCCATACCCCTAAATATATAACATCTACTCATGAATGCAAATTATGCCCTAAAAATCATTGTATTTATTGTTTTGAATACTAAAAAGATGAATCTTTCTTCAAAAGTACTTTGTATAAAGATTTTGAAAGTTTTAATACTGACTAAAAAATAAATATTGGTTGTGCAATGTGTGAGGAAGGATTCATTTTTGACTTTTTGATCGAAGAATGTATAAAAAAATAACCATAAATTGAAACTTGTTTAAGATCATTTATTAATTTAGAAGGTAATGAAATTTGTACTTTATCTTCTAAAACTGATTTTAGTGTTGCACCTGAAATAATAAATTGTTAGAAATATTATTCTAATTGTTAACAATGTGTCCTTTCTCCTAAATCAAAGTTATAATGTGTACTTTGTGATGAAGGGTATTTTAGTTCAGTAATTACAGGAAATTGTTAAGAAGATAAACATTCTACTCAAGTAAAAGATGGTATTCATGTAATCTAAGGGGATCAATATTAAAATGATGGATATATTCAATTAATATAAAGTTTTTAAATGTAATTTTTACCTGATTAATATTATTATTCATACACTCCAAGATACTTTGATTTGTTTATAATTAAATGTAAAAATGAATATTAATTGACATCAAGTTAATTTTGTTAAAAATATTGTAGTAATGAATGTTTAAATTGCTAAGATAATTATGATAATTTTATTTGTATTAAATGTCCTTTAAATTACTACAAAAATCATATAAGAGTAGAAACTCAAGGTCGATGTGTAAATTGTTCTCATTTATGCTAATATTGCTAAGATAGAGATGAGAATGATATTTAAGTAATATTTTAATACTATTATAGGTTTTGCAACCAAACTTTTAACTTTAGGAATCAAATTCTTAATTTACTATGATATGTCTTAAACCAATTGATGATCCTAATGTAATCATCAATCCATATTTATAAAATGTTAAATACTGTTTTAACGAGATATGTTATAATCATTTTTCATTATCCTATTAATTTAAAGACTGTATGCTTGATAGGTATAATCCAGAAGGATATGAGTCAGGAGTTAATTTTTAATACTGCAATTTAGTAGGAGTAGATTAAATGACGATAAATTACATCGTTTAAATTGATAAAGGAATAGATTGCTAATTTTCAGTCAAATTTATTTTAAGGAATAGCTTAAAGAATAAAATCTTTTCACTAAAAAAGGTTAATATGAATCTTTTTTCTGTACATGATAATATATTAAGTACAAAAAATAAAATAATCATAACTAATTATGATTAAGTATAAATCAAAAACATTAAACTTACATTATTTGATGGATTTTTTTTTAATAACAATAACAATTAAGTTAATATCACATTAAAAAATTTTAAATTAATTTAAAGCAACTTTTCTGATATAATAATTCTTAAAACTTAAGTTTATGGAAATATCCTTATTTAGGATGTGTAGATTTTAGATTCTATTTTTTTAAATTCATCTTTTTTTGAATTTTAGAACCAATAAATTTCATTTACATTGACAATTAAACAATTAACATTCAAAAACTGTATTTTAGATAATTCAACATTATTCAAAATAACCTAAATTCAAGCAATCTTAATTTTTGAAAATATCCTTATTGAAAATTGCTCACTATTAAATTCTTCATTTTTCTCATTCTATACAGATTTGAACACGATAAATTCTATCAGATTTTTTGATGTCTAAATTAATCAATGTAATTTTAATCTTTCCTATTTTCTCAAGAGTGATACTAATTTTATTATAATGGTAAGAAATCTCTTTATCGATAATAACTATTTATAAAAATCAGTATTAATTGCTTTTAATGATAATATTGAATTGATTAATGTGAAAACAAGTTAGAATACTCTTATTGGCTCTTCAATTATATCGACATTAATGATTATAAATTAATAAAGTGTTTTATGTAAGATAGAAGATTTTGAAGATAGTTCAAGTTCTTATTAAGAATCAAATTTGATAATTTTTTATTCTAGTCTTCAAATCAATAATTTTATTCTAAATATTAAAAATATTAAAGTTTCAGAAAATAAATTATTAGATACACTAAATATACAGAATTAACTATTTAAATTACATTGCAAATAATTTATAATTTAAAATGGAATATTTTTAAATCTTTAAAATATTTCTGTGTTTTATCTTTTTGAAATAAACTAGATCATTTTTGATTCTGTAATACTTGAGAATTATGAGTTAGAACATAAAGTTCCTCTATCTTAATTTTGTACTGATCAAGTATAATTTAGGAATTAACTATTACAAATTATAGGTTTTTAGTCAGTATCATTATCAAACATTAAAATTTTAAATCAATTTAGTATAAATTATTCATTTATGGATATAAGTTTTAGCACCTAATTCATTATTGAAAAATAAGGATAAGTAAAATTGATGAATGTATAATGTAGAGGGAATATTTTATTAAAGAATAAATAAGCCACTTCCTTATCGTTAATTAATATATATTCTCAATATAATTTAAATATTAAACTAACTAATTTTTAGTTTACTGAAAACATAATAAATTAATAAATTGATGAATCACTTGATACTTAAACTAATTTATTACATGTGAGTTCATTAGACAGTTTTGTTGAAATTCATTCTTTATATTTTAATCAAAATGCTTTAACTAATTCAACCAATCCATTTATCACTATTGCTGCTACTTTGATCGAAATTTCTAATTTAATATTCATGAATCAAAATGTTTTATCATAAGCTTTATGGTAATAATTTTATAATTTTGAATTAGAGGATTAATATAATCAATAATAAATTAACTCAATTATTTAATCGACATTTAAAATGTTAAATTAAGGAATTTTTATTGTAGCTTCCTCTTTTAGTTGTATAGATAGTGTATTTAAAGAAATTATTGCTTCTTAGAGTTCTATTTTTTAAATCAAAACTTAAGGATAAGGAATAATCAAAATGAATAATATCGAAATTGATTCTGTTTATACAAATCTAAAAGATAGTGGAAGTTCAGGTTGTATTAGTATAGACTCAACAAATAGTCTATTAAATTTTGAGCTTAAACAAATAAAATTTACAAAAATATTTAATAGAATGGCTGCATCATTATTTACGATTATTCCTTCATCAAAATCGAATATAATTCGTTTAAATAATATTGAAATAATAAATTGTCTTTCCTTAATGAATACAATTATGTTTGTTTAATTTTCAGCATAAGTTATGCAATAAAGTTTAGTAAGTTTTAAAAATGTATCAATTTATTCAAGTGAAGAATATTGGATTTAATTATTTTCTATGATAGGTCCAATTACGCTATCAGAATTAAATAACATATTAAGTGAAGAGAATGCTATGTTGTCCTTTGAAAATTGTAAAATAGAAATAATTAATTTTTATGTTGAAGGTATCGCAATCTCTCCAATTTTTAAATCTTAAAATGCTTATAAATTAAAGTTATTAGATTGTTAACTAGTATCTATATAAAAATTATATTCTTTTGACCTTATACACATAACTTAAACTTTAATAACTAAATCAAGTATATCTGTTGAAAAACTAAAGATAATTTAGAGTAATACATACCAAAAAAAATCTGAAGGAATTCCTATTTTTTCAGATTTGAATTATATAATTGGAGGGTGCAATTTATGGAGGAATACATCAATAATATAAAAAATCATTTTTACAGACATTATCAGCTCGTTATAATCTTTTAATTAGAAGTTGAATCAGATGATGTATGTGAAAAGTATTTCTGAATTAAATTATCTAATTTTTTAAGGGATAGAGATTATTAATAATAATGGATCAGACTTTACAAATGGAATAATCACTTTTGAAATGGAATAGTTTAAAATATTTAAAATCTTTAATGTTATTTGCCATTAGAATAGTGTAAAATCAAATGGTTGTATTTATTTTTAGATCTAAAATTTTATTAATTAAACTATAATAATCAAAGATTCATATTTTGTTTAGAATAATGGAAGTTTAGGAGGCGCTGTATTCATTTAAAATGTTAGATTAAGGATGACGAATTGTAAAATTATATCTAATTTTGCAAGTAAATCAGGTGGAGGATTATTTTTATAATTAAAGGATTCTGATTTTTTAATAGAATCAACAATAATTACTAATAATTAGGCGTTAGATGGAGGAGGCATTTATTTCAATTAGGATGGATCTATACTACATTCTAATTTTATAAAATCCTTTTTGTTATTTAATAAAGCCTTATAATTTGGAGATAATCTTATTGAATCTCCTCATCATTTAACATTACTTATCAACAATATGGAAATGCACTCGAAAAAATTGAACATTAATCAAATATTTAATCGTCATTTAGTGCTCAAACCCTATAAAATTATAGAATAAGGAATTCCTTTTCTTACATAGTATTTTATGATCCCTAGTTAATAAGTTATTGATTAGTATTAAATATATTCACCATTCAAGATTCAATATTTTTCATATATAACAAATTTTGGTGTGATGTTGAAGAATAGTTTAAATGAATAACTTCCCAATATTCTTAATAC